TGTAGAGCTGGAAGCTGAGAACTGGCGACTTTGTAGTACAACTTTAGCACTCGGAGTATCTGGCAAGCTGGACGATGAGAACTGGCGACTTTGTAGTACAACTTCAGCACGCGGAGCAATCTGTGCAGCTAGAAGCTGAGGACTGGCGACTTCGTAGTACAACTAGAGTTGTACTGGCGAACAGTGTAGTACGCGGAGGAGTCATCTCTCGCTGCTCATTCATCTCTCGCTGCTGAGTCAGCTCTCGCTATAGCCATGTCTCGCGGCTGAGTCATCTCTCGCGACTGAGTCATCTCTCGCTGTTGAGTCATCTCTCGCGGCGTGCACGTTCAGTTCATACTGATAGTATTTGGTTGCAGTTATGCAGGACAGGACATTCAGCTGCTGGTCAAGACACCACTCATCATACACCAGTCAGCATACACCACTCATCATACACCACTCGTCATACACCACTCATCATACACCACTCAACATACACCACTCATCATTCATCACTCGTCATACACCCCTCATCATACAAGACTCATCATACATAGTCTCAGAGTTCATGACAGATTTTTCATTCAAATTCGGATTCCATTCAGTCCGATGTGTGATATGCAAGGTTTGCCGCCACTGAAGAATACCGTCTAAGTCCAGGTCAAGTACGGTATCGATGCCTCTCCGCTGCCGTGTCTATGTCGAACACCGCCACGCAAACAAGTTGTTGTAGACATGAGTTGTGTTTAATGTAAGGTATACTTGACATGCACGAACTTACTACATACATACGCGCGAAGAGGTTGAGGACATTGTTTTTCAGTCAGAGGTGTAAGCCAGCGTGCGACGCTGTGGTCCGCGTTGGAGTGTTTAGCAAGACTCACGCAAGAGCACAAAGAACACAAGACTTGTAATGTGTGAACAGTTGAGTACAAAAGTAGAACCAAAGCAACATTACTGCAGAACACACTTTTCACAGAGGACTGGTAATTGGTAAGCACATGAGCGCAAAAGCAGGCACAAAGTAACACGACGACCAAACACAAAGCAACACATCCGATGTGTGGTGGTGTGACCCGCATCGTGTAGCTACTCTCGTAGCCATGGAGACGTCGATGTTCGAAAGGCTTGTGGCTTATTTGTTAAGGTTGAAGTTTTGGGCGCAGTTCATACTGACAGTATTTGGTTGCATTTATGCGTGACAGGTTTTACATGCCAATTCGGATTCCATGCACTTTGATGTGTGGTATGAAAGGCCTGCCGCCACTGAAGAATGCCACCGTGGGATGTGTGTCGATGTGGACCGCATCCTTGGCAAGTCGTGGTGGCCGGATGTGTGTCATCTCTCGCAGGGGGCGCACACACCTTACACACGTGGAATCCCGTGGGTCAAAAGTCCGGAGCGCGTGCGTTTGACTGGAGGACGCGCATGTTGGAGAGAACGTGGACACTCCTATAGGTCAATTTCTTCTTATTTGAAACTTCCGCCGCCGGCTTGCCCGGGAACTACTTGTAATTGATACTGAAAAAATATATAGGAATTAAAAGGAAATCAATGTGAATTAACAGAACATCAATATGAATTAAAGGGCTTCACTGGGCTATTCGCTTTGTGCAATTGATTTTTCCATTTGTGTATAGACTCCTTCAATCTTCAATGAAGGATTTCATAAGGAGCCGACGCGCAAAAGGTTTTGCTTTTGGTGGAGTGGGAAGCTTCAGGAAAGGCTGTGAGAAGAAGAAAAGCAGAAAGATTGTAAAGAAACAGGTAACTATTCCATTGCAAAAGTTTTGCCGGGAAAAAATCGTAGACATTGTTCTAGGATTCTAGGGGTGATATTATTCAAGACTTGGGCTTCGCTGGGCGACGCCCTTTGTGCAATTGTTTTTGACAATCTTGGGATAGGCTTGAGTAAGGGATTTCACAAAGGGCCGACGAACAAATGTGTCGGGTTTTGGTGGAGTGGGGATCATTCGGAAAGGAAAGGTTGTAAGAAAATGAAAAGCAGAAAGATCGAAAAGACAGATGTAGTTATTCATTCATTATTCTAGGAGGTGACATTATTCAAGGTTTCTAGTGTACTGGGCTACCCTCTTGGTGATTTAATCAATGGTGCTAAAGAAAGTTAAAGAAACTAGTGAAACACTGTCAAAGGTAGTTACCAGAGATCAAAAGGAATTCAAAAGGAAGTCAATAGGATCCAAAGGGGGTGCAAAGTAGACCAAAAAGACATCAAACTAAAAAGGTTGAACCAATACAGAAACAGCGGGGACATTATTGCAGGGGGTGATATTGATCAAGATTTCTAGTGTACGGGGCTACCCTCTTTGTGGAATAGATGTTTGCAATAGTTTAATAAGACTTCAATAAAACGAGCTGTAGAAGTTAATGAATCACGTTCAATGGTAATCAATTAGTTAGTTTGTTGATAGAGACCAAAAGGAAATCAATAGGAATCAAAAGCAATTGAATTAGCAGAAACTCAATAATAGAATAGTTATGTTTGGTTTAATATGTGCAGAGTTATTCAACAATGAACAGCATAGACATTATTTTAGGGTGTTTATTGATCATACCAGAGCCATCATGTAGACACTATTCTAGGGGTAGTTACTATTGAAAAATGTAACGGCGCAGACGGTATTCAAGGAGGTGTTTTAATAAATACCTAAAGAACAGACATTATTTGCAGGTGGTGATATTAATGATAAACCCCTTAAAGAAAATATTACAAAAAACACTAAAAAACTAACAAAAAACAATGTTAAACTCAACTTAAACAAATACAAAACTAACAAATACAAAAACAATAAACAACACATCTATTTAAGAACACCTATGCAAACATTAATCCGGGGGGTTATCAATCCAACCAAACAATTTGCAGACATTATTCTGGGAGGGGTTACTAATCTGAGTTCAACATTATGTTTCTAGAAATCCCGTGTTTTGGTGTCATGTGGCAGTGGGCATGCTTGTTTGCTCTTGCTTGGAGCCACTTGAGCTGGAAGTCGATGGTTAAATGGTGTTTTGAGTTTGACCTGGTTAAACTTAGACAAGGACAACGACCAAGTGTATTTTGGTCATTGAGTATCAGGGTATACGTTAATTTTCAGGAGTGCTCCTGGGGATGCAACTCTCCTGGAATATGCATCAACCTTTGTAAAATACGGTATATGTTGCATGTCCATGTGCCAAACCCCTAGTAAAACAATTATGTTTCAACACTTGCATCTGCTGCCCGCTTCAAAAGGTGCAAGATGCCTCAGAAAATGCACGTTTGGCATCACCTGTGTTCACCTCCCATTGGAGAAAAATAACAGCAATTTACAAAACTTATTTGAACAAACAAATATCACAATACTACAAAAGCACACACAAAAGTCCTCGAACAAAATGATCGAACGCACCAGAAGAACCAAAAAAGAAAACATCAATAAAAAAGAACAACAACATTCTGAGACTCTTTGCTGCCCAGCCTCCCAGAAACTTCTGGCATATGTTTTGAAAGTGACATTCTTGGACCCAAAAACTCCTTGAACAGGCTGGGCACGCACAGACTTTCGCTGCATGGAGAGCTTCTAGGCTTGAGGTTTGGGATTTGACCGATTTAGCCTAAGTTTGGAAGTTTGCACTTCTAATCCCCATATCATGCATATCCCCATTTCTATTATTTTCCTTTCAAGTTCATCTTAAATTCCTTTTGGATCCGTTTGGCGGTTCCTTTTTTAAACGCCTGTTGATTTCAATGATGTCCTTTGAAACTGTTTTTGCCGGTTTTTGCTATCCCTTTGATTCGTTTCAGAACCTGTTGATTGCAAATGATGCTGTTTGAATTCATGTTGATTCTTGCTGGTTCCCATTTAAACCTGTTTGTTTGTTTGTTTTTCTCAATCATAATTTTTTTATGAATTCCTTTTGGTTCCAGTTGAGGTCCTCTTTTTGAATTATAATCTTAAAATCTTAAATTAATGTTGATTCCTTTGAGTTCCATTCAACTTCTTCAAACTCCTGTGGAATTCTTTAAATACCGCGCGCGTAATTCCGGTTTGTGTTTAAAACTGTTTGGCTAACTTCTTAAAATCCCCCTATTAGATTTGTCCCAAGCGTATTGCAAAAAGTCTTATTGCGCATATAACCTCCACAAGCCTTTTGCGTTAATTAAAGCACCCCTTGGATCAACATATGATGTTTGCGATTGTCTATATTTAAATAACGTTACGCCCTCAAATATTGTTTCCATTTTTTTGCTTTGGTATGAAGTTGTTATCAACAACATCCCCTGCAATAATGTTCCTGTTTATTGTTTGTTTCATTTTTTTTGTGAATTCCGACTGTTTAGATTTCAAAAATAAATTTCCTTCGAACATCCGTTTGATGTAGTTGTTTCTTCTTAACTTCCTTTTCATTCCAACTGATGTCCGACAAGAATGTCCGTTTTACTGTGTGTTTGAGCTATGTCATACATAAAACACCGTAAAGATACAGAGTTTTGTAAGCAATTGACAAGCAAATGCTACATCCCTACCAACACCCGTTCTCCCTATAGATGTTCTGCCCATGGATGGTCTGAGAGAATGCAGGATAGGCCACTACTTCGCGGCCCTGGTGGAGTTTTGGCTTCGTTGGTGTCCTGTGCTCAATGCGACCAAGGTGCTCGCGCGCCAGCAGGTCACAGCGGAGGTGCGACTCACATGTGGGCCCCCCGGCTTTGGAAGGATCATGGGGGTCAGACCGCGCTGGCAAAGAGGGAGAGACTCTGGAAAACAAACTTTGGCTGAAATGTTTTTTGGTTCAGTACTTATAGTAACACAACAAGTAAAAGAACGGTATTTCATCCAGCTTTCTTTTCGTCTTGGGGGGGAGGCATGTTTGGATCACATCCCTGCCTGGATTTGGGATGGTTCTTCTTTGGACTTTGGGATGTCCAACCTCGTTTGCCACACGCCGCCCGGACGGCATCGCTCCGCTGGCTGGAGCCTCAGGAGCCTGCTCCCGAGAGACCGGGTCAGGAGGACTACACGACGAATCAGCTGAAGTTTCTGGCACGTTTGGAGGCCTTTCAATTGCCAAGGCTGAGTACAATTTGCCCAACCCCTCCTTGGTCAAACCTGGGCCAGAGCATGAAGTGTGGCTTTCCTCGGAGTGTGCTAGGTGTGACTTCGGGCAATGAATGCTTGCACCCTTCAGTAACGCCTGCCAGGGAGATGAAGCACTTCATCTTGAGGCTGCATTTCACTTCAGCGTTTGGGCGAAAGACGTCACATGATGGTAGCTGGCTCGGATACGTACCTGATACTTGAATATACTTGATCGATTTTTGATCATTACTCTAATCGAATATTGTTCATTATGTTTCAATTGATTCAGGGGTGGGGACGGGACTGCTTGGAACCTGTTTCGTGCACAGTGCAAATGTTGCCTTACACATTTGCGATTGCATATGTGTTGGGTGTAGATGTCACATGCTGTACAAAAGAAGTCCGGAACATGCTAGGCCTAGGGGCATCCATGCGAGTGATGTCTCACCGAGATAACGAGATCCAGAGCATTGCCTTCGAAAAGGGTGGTGCCAGTGGAGAAACAAACTGATCAATTATCTAGGTATATAATGGCCTGTTCAGCTGAACTATAGTGTATCCTGTTTCCATGTCATAGTTACATATTATAACCAGTGGCCCTCTAGAAGGAGTGGTTACATGGGCACCTGCCACGCCCTGGTTCGGAGCCACGGCTCGATTTACGTCCACGAGCGAAACGTGGATCACCTTGCTCAACCTTTTCCAAGGGGGAAATTCAATTCCACACAGCTGACAGCTGATTAGGATGATTTGTGTTCACGTTCTCAATGGGTGAATTCCCCTTTCTAGGGAATAGGTGCCTCACTTTTTCCCAGTTCAGCCAATCCAAGAATCCAAGAATATGAACAGATGGAGACCAGGGCAGACTTGTATGTTCCAGAGAAACCTGGGGGGAGTTCAGCATGTGACCATCTGCCCAGACGAGGCTTAGCTCGAGGACCCCGGGAGGTGGACGTGGTGGCCTCGCGCTTCGCTGGAGGAGAGCGCGGGGGAGTGGGCTCAATCCATGTCTCCTGAGCTGTGGAGAGAATGAAGAAAGCTTGAAGCTTCTGGTGGACGTATGTCTTTGCAAGGTTTTACTGTAAGTTATAAGATGTTATGAGTTATACATTATAAGTATATATATATGTAATGATGTAAGTAATTATGCGAAATATGTATATATATATATATTACATTGCCTTCAAAAGCTTTGACAGAAGACGGTTGTAGTTCCTGGCTTGGGTGACCGATGTGCTGAAGAAGGTCGTGGCCAACTCACCAATGCAAGGATTCTTGCACGAGTCCTTATGCTGGCGCATCCTGGAAGCCCGCGGCTTGGCTGGTTGTCGGGCATGACTTGCATTCCACATGCCCAGGGGCGTGAAGAGTGGTGGGCAGAGTCACAAAATTGCACCAAGTTGCATTGAATGCCCTGACCCACATGCTGTTTCTCCAATGTATTTCAAGGTTCATGTTGAGGTTCGCTGGTGAAACTCGTGCTTTCGTTTAAGGAATCCGGGCACGACTTGCGGCGGAAGCTTCTGTGAAGAAGCAGCTGCAGGAGTGGTGCCTTGGCTGGTCAAGGCACTTGCAGGGCACTGTCCTGAGAGATGAAAACCAACGAACTGGAACGGAAGGGGTTCCTTCCACCAACTCCCTGGGGTTCATGAGCCAACCATAGATGAGATGCATTCCAAAAAACACCAGTATGTGTGTGTGGATGATAAGGACTGGACCACTGCAAAGAAAGCAGGTACACCGGTACACCACAATTGTGGAGACGACGTTTTCTATTGTGTTCTGTTTTTGTTGCAAGGAAGTTCCCGCTGGGCACCTCATCACGGGTTCAGCTGCAGGCTGGGCGCGTCTCCAAGCTTCCAATTCCTCCTCCGCGGTCGCGTCTTCTTCGAGGAGCGGGTATCGCGGGGGCATCGCGGCGTTCTCTCCGGGGTGAGAGGAACTGCGACTGGGAGAGAAAAGAGCTGTTCAGGTTTGGGTGCGAAGAGGGAACCGGTTTTCAAGCCTATGGAGTGCTTCAAACTGATGCCAATTCTTTGAGGCACAGTCACTTGGGTGAAGTCTTCTTGTATCTTGTTGTGCATATGTTGTTACTTTATGGAGATGCGAGCTACTCCCCGGATAGGGCTGCTTGCCCAATGTGTTGTTTGCCATGGAGCTGTGAGCATACATACCCATTGCATACCCCCCCAGGAGGATCAGAAAGGCATCGTCAGGGGATACCCATGATGTCACTCTTCGAACCTATCAAAGGACATTAAATACAATATATAGACACTCCACCTGAACACTCCCAATTGCTCAAACCCCACGTTCCCAAACTTTCTCCTTCTTGATCATGAATGAACGGAGGGATCCTCAACCTGGTCCTTTGCAAACGGCAGTAGTTAAGCTATTTCGAACACGGACGTTGGCACCATCATGTACCATCGTGCCAATTAAGCGGTTCATCAGCATTTTAGTTGGCACCTTGAAACCGGGAATCACATGTGTTTGATCCTCAATTGCTTCGCTGCGCCGCTAGGCCCGCTCGGTGATGTCGATGCGGAGCCTCAAAGACCCGCTGAAATGCCCTGCCAGTGAGGGTTTGGGTTCCTTGGCGAAAGGACGGATTTTTCCAGCGAAAGACGAGACTATACACCATCCAAGGAAAATCAAGGAACTAACGAGCCAACCAAGCAACACAGGCAAACAGGCCTGTACTTTGAAAGGAGCCGCATACAATCCAAGGAAGCCTTAGGCAATTCTTTGGTCATCACACCTGATCGCTTTTGTCGGTGAGTAGGCATATTGACCTTCTGCACTCCAGACTTGGTGTCCAGGATGCACCAACTTCAGAGATTCAATCCCCTCACTCCTCACCCGACGTTTTACGTATATATATACATACTACAACGCAAAAAGAGTCCAAACCAAGTTCTGATCCCAATCATCATCAAAACATTGATCGTTGGTTGAAAACAGTAATTCCACTGACCTCCTGTAACTGTTGACCCTTGACCTAACCTATACCCCGGACAAAAAGCTGCGGAGCTACTCCGGAAGCTCCGTAGATCTCCGTAGGCTTACTCAGCTCTTCGCAGCCGGTGGGCTGGTGGACCTGGGATCCCTCCGAGCTCTTGACTGCTCCTGGTGCTCACGAGTCACGGTGCCGTGGCGGTGCCAGGACTTCGGTCGTTCCATGGGGTGGTGCATGGTGACAGGGTGCATGGTGGTATCACCACGTACAGAAACCACGTACTGATAGTTTAAACTGAGAACATGAGCTTGGTCTTTGACAATCTGAACTTTCAGAAATACCACTTCTGCAGAATCTGAGGGTGATTTTTCCCAAAGAGGAGCACAGAGCACCAGCACTTGCCGAATGGCTCTGACATGAGCTGTCTTTTGCCTGGGTGGTTACTTTGAACTTGGGAAAAATCCATGGGAATCCCCTTCTCTTCAAACCTGGTTATTCCTGGAGGCTTCATAGGGTTTGAAGGAAATCCCCTTCAGATGACTTGATTGTCATGGAATCCATACAGGTGGCAGTGAATCGGTTCTGGCCGTTTGTTTTTTTATTTTTTTTTTGGGGGGGGGGTGGGCGTTTTGTAAAGCAAACATAATCACACAAGGTTTGGTGGTAACGGTCAGGGAGAACAAGTTAAATCATTATAGGCATATGTCAACTGAGGTGGGTCCCTTTGCTCTACAAACGCTGCTCAGTTTGTCCAGCGCGGAGCGAGATTAGATAGATGTTGGCTGTTTAGAGCCTTCAAGCCTTGCTGACTTGGCGCAATGACCGTCGCTCCTCAATCAACAGGACCCTCCCATCAAACCGCTCTCAATGGACGTCATGTATTGGGGAGGGGCGGGGAGGGGTAAGTGTGTTTCTTTTGAAATGGACAGAACTTAAGAACAGTAAGTATCATTATATAATATTCGTATTTGTTTATACTGTTTCCATAGAATTTATGTGTTGCTACTTCATCTATCGTTATTTGATTGATTGCTCTTGAGTCTAGCTGCTAGCTGTATCCTCTTCTAGGTTGCCATTCAGAAGCCGACATATGTTGTTGCACCAGGTTACAATCAGAGGAGGAACTCCCACACTCACTGGCAAACTCAATGCACTCTGTAAAAGTTGGATGTCAACCACTAGGAAGTAGGAAGAGTGAAGTTTGGAGATGTTTTTGCCTTGCGGCTTGAGTCATTTCAAAACACTCATGGCCGCCTTAGGTATTTCGATATGATGGTTTTGTGTACACAGATATAATATATGTATAAATAAATTTACAAATATATATATATATATTCTCACCGCGTCACATAAACGCCTATTCAGGGGAGTATACCCCCCATAAAATATGTTTCCTGGTCTCCAGATTTCATTCTCGGGGAAGTGATTCTATACACGTTTTACTCATTCTACATAAATTGTACAGTAAGTTTCATGATATGATGTTTATGCTAACGGCTCTAAAACCGTACGTGCGTTTTTGCGTTTTTTGCTTCTTGGATGTTTTGTGCACTTTCCCATATATATGTATGCGTCTATGTTGCATCTTGACGTTGCGTTTCACACATATAGGTTAACGTTGCACACTGGGTTGGATGCTACGTTGTGCTATGCTGGTGACGTAGCGCGGGGGGGGGGGGGGGGGGGGGGGGGGGGGGGGCATGTTGACGTTCCTGTGACGTTGCATATGTATGTATAATTCTGTGCATGTGAATATTTTAAAACCGCTAGGCTGTTCACAGTGACAGCCTCCACGTTGCGTGCACACTGAGCTGGACCGATCGACTTTGTGAAAAGGTTCCGATCGAATCGGTGAACATGTGTGTTTTCTCAGGTTTTTTCGTCTTTCAAGCGAATTTTGGTCCAAGTTTTGGACACAGAATTTCCGATTTACAAGAGGTTCCAAACCCTCTTTTCCATTGTTCCCCACATCTTAGTGTGGGGTGGGGTTCTTCTTTTCTATGTCTCATCCCGCTTCTCCCGCTCCTCCCGCCACACCCACAGAGACACACACAGAGACAACACACACAGAGA